TGAGCAAGCCTATGGTAGCTCTGAAGCCATAGAGAGTGCTCTATTCAAGAGACTGCAAAACTTCCCAAAAATAGCAAACAAAGACTATCGCAGGCTCCAAGATCTAAGTGACCTCCTCATGGAGCTAGAGTTGGCAAAGACAGACCCACGTCTATCTGGACTAAGCTTCCTGGACACCGCTCATGGTGTCAACCCAGTGGTGTCTAAACTGCCATACGGCCTGCAAGAGAAATGGGCACAACAGGCTCAAGGTACAAAATAGAGACTATAACGTATCCTTTCCTCCATTCTCATACTTTTGCAGGTTCATTAGTGATCAAGCCTGGACGAGAAACGATCCCAGCTTCAGCTTCAGTGAACCAAACTTGCCTGCTTCATCCTCATCATCATCAAGGTATGATAACACAGCAGCTAACCGTAGAGACTTTACTAGAGCAATATCTGTTAAAAGGACAGACATCTCACCCTCCACAACCTCGCCTACTGACCAAGGCATTGTGGATGCCAGAGATAAAGACCCTAATCGTCAGTGTCCTATTCACAAGAAGCCTCACCCTCTTAAGAAATGTCGTGGGCTTAGGGCAAAGACTTTTACAAGAGCGCAGGGAGATTCTCCAGAAACTTGGAATATGCTACAAGTGCTGTGCTTCTTATAACCACTTTGTTAAAGACTGTAAAGTTGTCATCAAGTGCACAGAATGCGGTAGCGACAGACATGTTTATAGCCATGCATCCTACTCCACTTCCAGACAACCCGCAGCAGCTACCTACCTCAACCCCTGTCTCAAATTATGGCGGGGAGCAACAAAGTCATGCTCTAGCCAAAGGTAATGTTTCTTCTTCATGCACGGAAGTCTGTGGAGAGGGACTGGATCACAAATGCTGTGCCAAGATATGCCTAGTCAAGATATACCCAAAGGATCATCCTGAGGAAGCTACTAGGATGTATGCCATAATAGATGAACAGAGCAACAGATCCCTGGTTAAGCCTAAATTCTTTGAGATCTTTGGCTTAGAAGGTCACGCCACGCCGTATACTTAGAACCTGTTCTGGTCGTGTAGAGACCTTTGGCAGAAGGGTCGATGGATTCATGGTCTCTCATATCAAGGATGGAGAAGGCATACCCCTCCCAACATTAGTTGAGTGTGATCAGGTACCAGACGAAAGAGAAGAGATTCCTACTCCAGAAGCTGCATATCATCATCCTCACTTAAGGCACCTTGCTGATGAGATTCCTGCGATGGACAAGAGTGCTGAAATCTTGGTCCTGCTAGGAAGAGACGTTCTCAGAGTACATAAAGTACGCGACCAATGCGATGGACCTAACGATGCCCCTTATGCACAAAGACTTGACCTAGGCTGGGTAATAGTGGGCGATGTATGCCTGGACAGAACGTCATCTGAGATCCACTCCTTCAAAACTTACATGTTGGGAAATGGACGTGCATCCCACTTCAAACAGTGCCCTCACCATTATGAAGTAAAGGAGAAGCCTCTTGACATCATCCAAGTACCTGATGTTACTCCTGTTCTTTGTGATGACAACCTAGGTACCACAGTGTTTTGTACTACAAGTGATGACAACAAAATAGCCTTGTCAGTCGAAGATAGAGAGTTCATCAAAATAATGGACAAAGAATTCTTCCAGGATGAGTCTAACAGCTGGATCGCACCATTACCTCTTCGTGCTGCAAGGGCCACACTCCCAACCAATCGTGAACAGGCTCTATCCAGATTCAACTCACTTCAACGAACACTAAAGAACAGGCCTGAAATGAAGGAACATTTCATCGCTTTTATGAAAAGGATCTTTGACAATGATCACGCCGAACCAGCGCCACCACTTCAAAGACACGATGAGTGCTGGTACCTGCCTTTCTTTGGAGTGTATCATCCACGTAAGCCAAAACAAATCAGGGTAGTATTTGACTCCAGTGCCAAGCATCAAGGCGTATCCCTGAACGATGTTCTTCTCACTGGCCCGAATCTAACCAACAACCTTATGAGATTTAGAAGAGAACCAGTTGCCATAACTGCTGATATTGAGCAAATGTTTCATTGCTTCATTGTACGTGAAGACCATAGGAACCTCCTAAGGTTTCTGTGGCACCGTAACAACAACATGGACAATGAGATAATTGAATACCGCAAGAAGGTACATGTTTTTGGAAACAGTCCCACACCCGCTGTTGCAACATATGGTTTACGAAGGACTGCCCTTGATGGAGAAAAGGAGTATGGTGCGGATGCTCGACACTTCGTTGAGAGAGACTTTTATGTTGACGATGGACTTAAGTCTTTACCTACAGATGAAGAAGCCATAGACCTGCTCCAAAGGACACAAAGTATGCTTTCTGGGGCTAACCTCAGACTACACAACATTGCCTCGAATAGTGTCGCTGTTATGAAAGCCTTTCAACCTGGCGATCATGCCACTGGGTTTAAAGATTTAAATCTTGGGATGGACATGCCACCTGTACAGAGAAGTCTGGGCCTACGGTGGGACTTATTAAAAGATACCTTCGGCTTTCAAGTCGGCTCTGCAGACAAACCATTTACCAAGCGTGGTGTTCTGTCAGTGGTGAACAGCTTATACGATCCATTGGGATTTGTGGCTCCCATCACCATACAAGGTAAATCCTTACTTAGACAGTTCTCAGAGTCTATTAAAGATTGGGATGCTCCGCTGCCTACAGACAAGCTTCCAAAGTGGGAGTCCTGGAAAACAATCTCTACATGCCTTAGATGGAATCAGTATACCACGCTGTTACACCTCAGCTTCCCTTGCTACAAGTCAGGGAAAAGAGCTTCACATCTTCTCAGATGCATCTGCCATAATCAATTCAAGACCACTTGTTCCAGTTTCTACAGATCCAGAGACCCCAACTATCCTTACCCCAGCTACTCTACTTACCCAGAAGCTTGGGTCCGTTCCTGTTCCACCTGGAAAAACAGGAAATCTGTGCTATGACCAGTGGAAGCGAGTACAACACCTCTCCAACTGCTTCTGGAATCGTTGGAGAATGGAGTATATTTCTACTCTGCAAGGATGCAGAAAATGGCAACGCCTGAACCCTAACATTAAAGTTGGAGATCTCGTTCTGCTGAGGGACCAGCAAGCTGAAAGAATCGAGTGGCCTATGGGACTCATTGTAAAGAGCATTCCTAGTGATGACGGCAAGGTACGCAAGGTGGAGGTGAAAGTTGCAAGACAAGGGACTGTAAAGACTTTCAGCAGACCTATCACGGAACTTGTTCTGCTCTTGCCCTTTGGAGAATGAACTTGCTTGCGTATGCTGCTGGATCCAACCTGTGACTTCAAGAAGGAAGTGTCTTGAACTTTAATTGATACAACTTGAAGCCTTACATTATAATTGTTGCACTATATGCATGTTCCCTTTTTTATGTCTTTCAGGTCTTCAAGACATCAAGCAAATTGCACTGTTGTTTATTTGCAATTGTATAACTACCGTTATGGTTTAAATAGTGACATTTACAATGCCAGACGGGGAGTATGCTGTTACACAGTTAATATTTATGTTAATGTACATGAGAATTCATATAGTTTATTTTTTTGTACCATTTCCTATGGACATTTCTATAGTTAGTAATGCTGCCATCCAGTGGTCTTATTTGGTAATGCATTTGTTTTATATTGCCTCCCTGAGATCTATGACACAATTCCTTTGTATATGAAGCTCCTCCCTTCTTCTTGAGTTCAGCACTTCCTGTGTCATGGAGGCAGCTAACAGACCACATGTAACAGGGACACATGTATTCTGCATAGTACGCTACAGAAAGTATCATCTTTTGACCACATAATACTGGAAACCATTCATTCTGCTGTATCCTGTTTCACATGTACAGAATAAAGCAACTTCTGGATGAACACAGTATTGGTGAGTTCAAGCTATCTGATAAGGATTGCCCACAGTGATTATATCTGCTTATACAGTGTCAGGGCTCCAGGGTATGGCCAGAGGTATGTGAACTGACGCAGGGAAACGCAGGCTTCAGATAAGTTATAAACAATATAATTTATTAAAGACTAACAATACAAACATAAACACAGTGCACCAAACCCCAAGCTAACACAAATACATACAACAAGGTGAAACAAACCCAAGCCTAGACTGATACAGATACACAGGTACATACACATATAGAGCACAACGTAATCAGGCAGGCCGGGTCGATAACTATCGGGCAGGTAGGTACAGGAGGAGCAGGCGGAGAGAATGGTCTGGGTCACAAGCCAGGGATCAAAACAGGAGAAGTCAGCAGAGGTCAGGATCAAGCAGAGGTCAGCAACAAGTCAGGCAGAGGCAGAGACAGGAACAGGAACGCAGGTTACAAGATACAGGGGCCCAGGAAAAACACACACCAAGGCCCAGACTGCAGGTCTGGCCATCCCTTAAATACACCTGTATAATCAGCTTCAGGTGTTTGGCTGGCTGCAGGGTTGAGTCTTTGATTGCTGGGAGCACCCGCTGGCCAGCCCTGGTACTGCAGCCCACAAGGCAGGTGAGTCCCACCATTACTGGCAAGTCCATTCCTCACAGTACCCCCCCCCTCAAGGAGCGGCCTCAAGACGCTCCAAACAGTCCTAGCTGGGCAAAATGTTCCACCGCCCAGATCTGGTAACTGCCGGGATATCAAAGACTGGCACATCGGGCTGGACTCCGGGCAGCGGCATATCGGGCTGGACTCCGGGCAGCGGCACATCGGGCTGGACCCTGGCAGCGGCACATCGGGCTGGACTCCGGGCAGCGGCACATCGGGCAGTACTCCGGGCAGCGGCACATCGGTCAGGACTCCGGGCAGCGGCACACCGGGCAGGACTCCGGGCAGCGGCACACCGGGCAGGACTCCGGGCAGAGGCACATCGGGCAGGACTCCGGGTAGAGGCACATCGAGCTGGACACCGGATCACCAGGCGGAGCAGCAGGCACCGGGCCACCAGGCGGAGCAGCAGGCACCGGGCCACCAGGCGGAGCAGCAGGCACCGGGCCACCAGGCGGAGCGGCGGGCACCGGGCCCCCAGGAGGGGCGACAGGCGCCGGGCCCCCAGGTGGGGCAGCGGGCGCCGGGCCCCCAGGCGGAGCAACAGGCATCGGGCCCCCAGGCGGGGCGGCGGGTGCCGAGCCCCCAGGAGGGGCGACAGGCATCGGGCCCTCAGGCGGGGCGGCGAGCGCCGGGCCCCCAGGCGGAGCGCCGGGCGCCAGGCCCCCAGGAGGGGCGACAGGCATCGGGCCCCCAGGCGGAGCGACGGGCGCCGGGCCCTCAGACGGGGCGGCAGGCACCGGGTCCCCAGGAGGGGCGGCAGGCACCGGGCCCCCAGGAGGAGCGACGGGCACCGGGCCCCCAGGAGGAGCGGCGGGTGCCGGACCCCCAGGAGGGACGGCAGGCACCGGGCCCCCAGGCGGAGCGGCGGGCACCGGGTCATCAGGCACGACAATGGGCATCGGGTCACCAGGCATCAGGTCATTTGGCTCGCCAGCGGGCACCGCGTCATCTGGCAAGGCAGTGGGCACCGAGTGACCAGGCACGACAGTGGGTCCCGAGTCAACTAGCATGACCACGGGCACTGGGTCAGACATTGGATCGTCTGGCTCGACAGCGGGCATCGGGTCACCAGGCATCAGGTCATTTGGCTCGACAGCGGGCACCGCATCATCTGGCAAGGCAGTGGGCACCGAGTCACCAGGCACGACAGTGGGCTCTGAGTCAATTGGCACGACTGCGGGCACCGGGTCATCAGGTACCGGATCGTCTGGATCGACAGCGGGCACCGGGTCATCTGGCGTTGGATCGTCTGGATCGACAGCGGGCATCGGGTCACCAGGCATGACAGCGGGCACTGGGTCACCAGGCATCAGGTCATTTGGCTCGCCAGCGGGCACCGCGTCATCTGGCAAGGCAGTGGACACCGAGTCACCAGGCACGACAGTGGGCTCCGAGTCAACTGGCATCACCGCGGGCACTGGGTCAGACATTGGATCGTCTGGCCCGACAGCGGGCATCAGGTCACCAGGCACGACAGCGGGCACTAGGTCATCAGGCATGGGATTGTCTGGCTCGACAGCGGGCATCGGGTCACCAGGTATGACAGCGGGCACCGCGTCACCAGGCATCAGGTCATTTGGCTCGCCAGCAGGCACCGCGTCATCTGGCAAGGCGGTGGGCCCCGAGTCACCAGGCACGACAGTGGGCTCCGAGTCAACTGGCATGACCGCGGGCACTGGGTCAGACATTGGATCGTCTGGCCCGACAGCGGGCATCGGGTCACCAGGCATGACAGCGGGCACTGGGTCATCAGGCATTGGATCGTCTGGCTTGACAGCGGGCATCGGGTCACCAGGCATGACAGCGGGCACCGGGTCATCAGGTACCGGATCGTCTGGATCGACAGCGGGCACCGGGTCATCTGGCGTTGGATCGTCTGGCTCGACAGCGGGCATCGGGTCACCAGGCATGACAGCGGGCACTGGGTCATCAGGTACCGGATCGTCTGGATCGACAGCGGGCATTGAGTCAACTGGCCTAATAGGATCATCAGGCTGGATCAGTTCATCAGACTGGGTAGAAACATCATGCTGGGTAGAGACATCAGGCTGAAAGGAGGCATCAGGCTGAATGGAGGCATCAGGCTGAGTGGAGGCATCAGGCTGGGTAGAGGCATCCGGCTGGGTAGAGGCATCAGGCTGAAGTGCGGGTGCTGAGGCACCAGGCTGAACCACGGAAGGCAGGTTCTCAGACGGCAGGCTCACCGGTTTGGATACTGGCAGGATGGTACTGGTTGGAAAGAATTTTTCTGGTCTTAACTACTGGAGCACTGCAAGTAAACGCAGGTCTGCAAACGAATGGAGCAGCTGAGGACAGAGAAGAGCTGGAAGATGGAACAGAGGAGGGAGCAGTTGCTACAGAGGACTTCTTTACAGGGTTAAAGAAAGGATAGGTGCAGCGAGTGGGAGCAGAGGACTGGTATGTGGTAGTTAGCAGAGTATACAGGGCAGTCACTGGGGGTGCTGTCGGGGATGTAGGAAGAGTGCCTTGAGTGGAGGAATGATGTTGTAAGCTGACTGAGGCTGGGTGCAACAAGTCTGACCATGTCTGCAGTATGGGTTGAACAAAGCTCCGCTTACACAAAGCCTGTCTGGTCAAAGACTGCACTGCGTTTATACAATCTCTTAGTACCTGTGGTGAACATGCAGAATAACGCTCCAGAAAGTAATCCACATCATCCTCTAATAACCATACCAGAGACTCTACCTGGTCGGCACTAAATGGCGGCAAAAATTCATCCCTGCATTCGGGGGTACCAGATGAAACCAGCTCAGCACAAACCTGAATCAATGGCTGCACCTCAGAGAATTCTGTGCCCTGATCTACTAGGCAATGAGCGATCCGTATACATTCTAGTAGTTGATCCCTGGGATACTCCTTCAGAGTCTGATAAGCATATTCTCTGTCATCAAACACTAGCAGAGATAAATACACAACCTCGTCAAGATCCATCCTTCCTAGCAACAAGCCAAGATGGCTTCCCTGTGCAGCCCACTTCTGGTCAGGATTGTCCATGGTGTAATGTCAGGGCTCCAGGGTATGACCAGAGGTATGTGAACTGACGCAGGGAAACGCAGGCTTCAGATAAGTTAAAACAATATAATTTATTAAAGACTAACAATACAAACATAAACGCAGTGCACCAAACCCCAAGCTAACACAAATACATACAACAAAGTGAAACAAACCCAAACCTAGACTGATACAGATACACAGGTACATACACATATAGAGCACAACATAATCAGGCAGGCCGGGTCGATAACTATCGGGCAGGTAGGTACAGGAGGAGCAGGCGGAGAGAATGGTCAGGGTCACAAGCCAGGGATCAAAACAGGAGAAGTCACCAGAGGTCAGGATCAAGCAGAGGTCAGCAACAAGTCAGGCAGAGGCAGAGGCAGAGACAGAGACAGGAACAGGAACAGGAAGGCAGGTTACAAGATACAGGGGCCCAGGAAAAACACACACCAAGGCCCAGACTGCAGGTCTGGCCATCCCTTAAATACACCTGTATAATCAGCTTCAGGTGTTTGGCTGGCTGCAGGGTTGAGTCTTTGATTGCTGGGAGCACCCGCTGGCCAGCCCTGGTACTGCAGCCCACAAGGCAGGTGAGTTCCACCATTACTGGCAAGTCCATTCCTGACATACAGGCTAGGCAGAGAGGTCTCAAGGCATAAATCGCTATCACAACAATCTGAGTCAGAATACCCCTTCTTCAAGGTCCAAGCAGTACTATTACAATGTTTTAGCAGAATGTTAGAAGCTGGAGATGAGAGGAAAAAAAAAAAATCAGAAAGAAACACAAGCCTAGGGTTATACTAGAGACCCTTTACTAGAGATAAAATACAGCAAAGCAAAAGCAAAGACTGGGGGGGGGGGGGGGGGGGGGGGGGAGGAAGAACAACAATCACAAAGTCATAAAAATGTTGGATATTGATTGAGGAATCCCATGTCCAAATTAAGGCCCTTATCTCTTGTGTCATATAGAATTATCATTTTTAGTTCAAAAGTTTTTCTTTCCAGAACGGATTTGAAATTTGCTTTCAGAACTAAAACATTGAGGTCTCCCAAAGTGTGGTCCGGTTGTGCGTAATGGTGTCCCACAGGTGTGCAAAAGTTATCTTCTTTATGTTCCTTGATGGTATGTCTGTGCAAATTCATCCTTGTTTGCAACTTCTGTCCTGTTTCGCTAACATAGGATCCTTTGTTATATTTTCTGCACTGGATAAGGTACACAACATTACTGGAGGTGCAGCTGTATGAACCGGAGATATTGAAGATCCCTTTTGAGTGTGTGACACTTTTTGATGGATTAATTTGGTTGCAAAGTTTGCATCGTTTTTTATTGCAGGGTGTGCTTCCATTATTTGTGACCTCATAATCAGAAGGAAGTTTCCTACTGATTACTTTATTTCTGAGGTTGGGGGGTTATCTGCAAGCTAGTATTGGGGGTTGCTGGAATATTTCTTTCAGAGTTCCATCCTCTGTTATGATGATGGGTTGTAAATCTTTGATTATTTTTCTTATCCCTTCTAGTGCTGGGTTGTATGTGGTTACTAGAGGTACACAGTTGTTTGTTTTTTTTCTCCTTGTACTGAAGTAGATTTTCTCTTCGGGTTCCGAAGGCTGTGTTTATGCTGTTGTTGATATTTTTATCCTTGTAACCTTTCTTATGGAAGGAGTCTGCTAGTGTCCCTAGATGTGTATCTCTGTCTCTTGGGTCAGAACATATTCAGTGGTATCTAATGGCCTGACTGTGTATGATGGCACGTTTCGTGTGTTGGGGGTGGAATATAGAACTGTGGAGGTAGTTGCATCTGTCAGTGGCTTTCCTGTATATTGAGGTGTGAAGTGTATCATCCCTGATGTATACTGTGGTGTCTAGGAAGTTGACGTGTGTGTTTGAGTATTCCATTTTTAGTTTGATTGATGGATGGATGAAAAGTGTTGATCAATGAGTAAAATTGTTTTAGGTATTCTTCACCTTCTGTCCATATGATGAAAATATCATCAATATAGTGATAGTATCTGTATGGTTTTTGTTCCATGCTGTTCAGGAATTTTTCCTCCAGGTCAGCCATAAATAAATTGGTATATTGGGGTGCCATTTTACTTCCCATCGCAGTACCCATACATTGAAGACAGATGTCTTTATTGAAGGCAAAGTAGTTGTGTGTAAGTATGAATTCAATGAGCTGTGTAACATCCTCAGCAGTGTATTTGTGGTTTGGTGAGGATGATAAGGATCTGTGACATGCAGCTAATCCATCCTTGTGAGGGATATTACTATACAGGGATACTACATCCATAGTCACTAGAAGTGTATTATATGTAATTGCTGTATGTTGTTGATCTTGTTCAGAAAGTCAGTGGTGTCTTGCAGGAAACTAGCAGTATTCTTTGCTAACAGTTTTAAAAATTTCTTCTACAAAGCCTGAGATTTGTTCGGTGATGTCATGGAAATTTTGTATTACAGGTTGAACTTTAAATGTGTCATATATATTAGTGTTATTCATATGTCTCTCGTGTGGCTTAATTAAAGCTCTGAAGGCTGCAATTAGGCCATGCGCATGTACAATGTATATATTACAGTACTCAGCTCGGTAATGGATGAGATGGCAGATCTGCGCTTATAGACCGGCGTGTATACCACCACGGCATTTGATGCGAATGCCGCCGGCAGTAGGCCGCGGGCCTGTATCCACATATCAGCAGCATAGTACCACATGGACTTCGTGTGGCCAGGCGCCGGGCAGTGCGAACTCCGCGTGTAGGCTCATGTATATCTTACAAGCCACTACTGATCTGAACTGTATCTGGATGGATGTGTTTTAATAAAGATCGTATCGGGCCCATTCAGATACAGACTGACACTGTTTAATCTAAGGGATGCTTGTACAGACAATGTACATACTACTAGGAGCTGATAGCATGTAAAGGATGGGAAGTTCGCTCTCCACAGAGAGTTTATGGGGGAGGGGAGGGGAGGACTGGTGTAACTGGCTTCCAGTATAGATAAGAGGAAAGGCTACACTCCAATCAAGATGTACATTCTGTGTATAGACACTCCCTATACAATGTTCTGTGGGAGGGGATTGACCTGACCCCCCCCCCCCCCCCCGTGGGGGGGGGGGGGCGTGTGTGCTTGTAATAAAACAGGAGGCTGGGGTTAGACCCGGTCTCAGAGTGAATTCCAACTGCAACCTGAGAGTGTCGTGTGATCATTCCTGGGTAACGGGAGCTCCATTTTCCCCACATCTGAAGAGAGCTAAACCAGTTGGAGGCACAGGTATCGTGGAGTTTAGCTGCAGTCGCGGTAAGTGGAGGGCGTAATACGGCTGCAGCGAAATTCACACAGCTTTATGGGGGATTGCTGCGCACCCAACTGCGGACACTCACGGTAAGGAGAAATTTGTTAAAAGCGAATTTCCAAGACAGAGGATTCTAACGCGAATTCTGCGATAGCTAACCGAGTACGAGGGGGGAATGAGCTATCATGAACTAGCAAAAAGTATGCCGGCACATTTCAGGTCTCTCTACCGTTAAGAGGATCGCTTTTTGCGCGTTCGTGTGGCTAATTTCGCTCTCTGTTAGCTAACGTGAATTCCGCTTAGCAAGGACCTAGTCGTCCTAAAATTTTGATTTGTGGGTGAAAGACAAGGGTTTTTCTCTGCTAAAAACAGCAGAGGGGTGGGTTTGGTTGGCTGGATTTGGTCAAGTTTAAATATCTTTCAACCAAAAATTAAACGGGTATATGTTTTAACGGGTAAAGGTTTTTGCATAGTTTAGGTAAGTATTTGCGGGTTGTAGGTACTGTGGTAGTTGCTTTACCTCCCTCCACATGAGGTAATTATTACAGTGCTGAAAGGTATAGATTAATCGTTAACTGTTGTAAGACCTTTGTGTGTATATAGTCTGTGCAGTGTTTTGTCGGTACTACTGCTCCCAGCAAGCATGCAGCAGTGGGTCTTTTCTGTTACATGCGCATGTTAGTGTGATATGTTGGTTTTTCCATGTCCGTTCTGTGATTGTGCCAAATTGTGTTGTATGTGTACTGTATATTGTTGTGTAATTGTCCAGTGTATGTTTTGTCCAAAAGTCTGTTTTATGTAAGAGGTTAGAGGCAATTTTGAGGCTAGTGACTGCCATGTGCTTTCTTTGTTGGT